CCGAGGCCGCCTTGGGTCGATTTGTGTACAGATAGATCGAGGGGCCGAAGCTGAGTTGTTACCTCTGTTCGATATCTGCCCTGATGAGGCCCCAAAGTTCCAGGGTCCTTATGCAGGCCCTCGACGTGCCAAGTCTACAGCAGGAGGCACTCTGGCGCGCCGCCAGCCGGCGGCCACAAAGGCCTCTCGCGCGCTTCGGCCCCTGCAGCTGCGGGCATGCAATTTACAGATCGCCTTTGACAAGGGCCGTGTGCATGCAGACAGGAGGTGGAGGCGCCAATGCCAATTCGTTGCTCAGGAGGGCAGGGAAGGGATGATGAGGAGGCACATCACGGCGGAGGTTTCGGCGACCCTGACCTACCTTTCCGATCAGATCCCCCCCTCCACCTCAGGGCACGTTTACGCGTTATGTTTCCTGGGCGACTACCTTGGAAGACTTGCGCAGGTCGATGAGCGTCGACTTGCCGCTGCACGTGCGCGCCCCCTTTCGATATGGATACGGGGCCAGCTCCGTGCCCAGCCAGACCCTATACACACGTGGTCTAAGCCGAGAGGGTGGAACCTGGCCCAGGTGCACACACTGCTTTGGGACCGACGAGCGTTGCGATTGATATCTGCGAGAAGCAAAGAGGCTCCTGGGCTGAAGTCTGGGACGGGCCTCCCTCGGAGCCTGCCGTCCATAGCGAAAGCATCCATGGGGGCACGGGCGATGTTCTGATCCAGGGCCTCCAGCACCTATGCGCGAATGGACCTCGTCTTCCTCCGCTTGCAACTGCGGAACTGTGGCGAGCAGTTTTTCAAGTTTCTAGGCGCGCCGCAGTAGGCGTGGATCGATTTAGGCCTCATCACCGGGTCTCGGGATCCGATGGAGAATTGGCGAGTCTCGGTTACTTTCTTTATCTTTGTGAAACGTTTGGTACGTGACCTAGCATGCTGGCCCGAGTTCGCATCTTTTTTTGGCGACATTCCGGGGGCCACCGCCCGTCGCCTCACTTCCTTCCATGCGCCGAGTTTGGGCCAAGGCGTGCCTCGATTGGGTCAGATCTTGGGCGTCACGTCTTGGGCGAAATTACTTGGCTCTGGGGTCTCGACGCGCTGCCGCCGGCGTTGCTGCCAGGGTGCGAGCCCAGGCGGAAGCAGGTCAGATCTTTCAGAATGAAGCTTCTTTTCGCGCGTTCGTGGATATAGCGAAGTGTTTCGATTCGGTGCCATGGGGCGCGCTGCTTCCGGCGGCGTCCGCCCACTAATTCCCAGGCCGGCTCACGTCGCTTGCGCTGTGGATGCACATGGGAGAGAGGCGGTTGGGATGGGGCAGTTGCTTCGCGACTCCAGTCTACGCCCGTCAGGGCGCGTTGCCAGGGCGCCAGCTTGCCACGTTTGCACTGCAGTGTGTGATGCTCACGGGGTTTGATTCTTTTGAGAGACACGCGGCGTCTATCCCTCGTTTGTTGGATCTTTACGCGGACGACGTCGCGAGTGGCATCCGAGGCCCCCTCTCTAAAATATGCGAATGGTATCTAACGCCCTTCCATTGTGGATCCACGTCCTTAAGGCATTGGGCTTACCGCCAGCTGCTCACAAGATGAAGGTCGCGAGCGGCATCCCCAAGCTCGGACAATTAGCATGCCCAACTGGGCCCCCTAGGATACCAATGCGCCACAGCCTTGGATGTCTTGGTCATTGAGCCTGCGTCGGGTCAGCTCATTTGGCGTGCCAAGTTGAGACAGAGGGGGGAGGGGGTCGTTCGTACCCTTCGGGAGGCTGGAGCACTGCTCACGAAATTCATTAAGCAACCAGCGCCGCCTGCGGTTACCTACGGATGGGGGGTGCATGGCGCTCCCCCGAGGCTCGTTGACCAAATGCGTGCTTGTCAGAAAACGGCGTGGCCGGCGCCAGGAGCAGGTACTTCATGTTTGGTTACATATTTTTTGAAAGGTTCGCTGTTCACAGACCCGCAGGTCGAGGCGCGGACTGCACCTCTTTTCTCGTGGCCTTTTTCGAGCCGGGACGCCGCCATTCCCTCGCGCGTGCCGCAGGCGGCGCGGCGCGCGCAGGCGCGCAACCTACCATCTGAAGTCAAGTCCCCCTGGACGCACGTGGCGGGCCCCGCTGGGGCTACTGTTCTTGCCCTCAGGGGCCTCCGATGGACGGCCTCCAGTGGGTTCGCATGGCGCGCTGGCCTGGGTACTGTCCTGGATATTCGGCGGGGGGCTCCATCAACGATGCGGGTTTTGGCCAGAGGTGCCAAAGTTTGGAGGCCGTGGGAGGGATGGGCATCACGGCCGCAGCTGGCTGGGGAACCCGTCTGTCCCAAGGGGCCAATCGGCTATTGGGTGGAACCGACCATCAAGATCCTAGATCCTATTCCCTTACCTGATCCAGACTCTTGCAGCGACCAGGGTACAGATGGCCAGTGCGTGAATCCAGACGACGTCGATTATGCACGTGGGCCCAGCGAGCCTCCGCGAGCGTGGCAGTCAGATTTTAAAGAAGGCGGCCTTCTTCGTGCTATCATGGCTGGTGGCCTATGGACGCCAGACAGGCTTCACCGTTGCGCGTGCAGATCGGACTCATGCTGCCCGCACTGCGGACAGGAACAATGTGACTTCCAGCACATCGTATTCCAGTGCCCCTTCCTGGACACGAGGCGAACCGAATTCCTGCGCTCCTTCGATCAGGGAGGGTCCCCCACGATGTCTCGAGACTCCTTGCTGTGGTCGCGTGGGCTGGCCAGTCGCAGCTGTTTCCCCGCGATGCCGCCGAGGGTATAACTGAGAATCGATGGACGGTACATTATGGTAACCCGCATGGGATCTCAGGCCACGTGCACATTGACGGCGCGTGCTCACGGATGTGGCATTGGCCCGGGGCGGCCCGAGCGGGCTGGGGATCGCGAAGCTCCGTGGAGTGAGGCAGGGCATCGACATCCTGGTGTCGGGGCCTCTGCCAGGCCCAGCCCAGTCATCTCTTCGGGCCGAGCATTCGCTGGCCTCCAGGTCCCCCAGGTGCGCCTCCCTCCCGTCGTGGCCCATGCGGACGTCAAAGCCTCTTGGACGGTCTCAACTGCGGCCTTCAACGGCGCCGTTCCCCATCTGCTTTTGAACGTTGACTTTTGGGGGGCCATCTGGGCCAAAGTTTAAGACCTAGGGGGGTTAGAAGTTGGCATCAGTGTAGTCCTCGTCGGGGGCCATCAACGTGGGACTCATGCCCATGCCGTTGGCAACTGGCGGGCAGACCTTGCTGCATGTCTTGGGCGTGGCACCCACTCCGCTCCCAAGGTGCAGCGGAAGGCCATGGGCATAGGCCTTCGGCAATATATCTCGCTCCTTCGTTGGAACGCACAGGCTGTCACCGCCTCTCTGGGGGGGGGAACGGTTTGACGCTCGACCTCGAGGTCGGAATTCGCCCAGGCCCCGCAGGGCTTTTGTTGCCGTTTCCCGCGGCGTTCCCACGGAGTTCCGACACGTTCTTCGCCCCGTTGGGGCCAAGTTTTGGCGATGTCAGTTTTGCAGGAAAGGTTCGAAGCTTGAGAGCGCCCGCAGTATTTTCTCTCGTCGTGCCTGCCCTGCTCGGACCCGTGCTGCTGCGGCTGCGGCCTTGGTCGCGTCTGCCTCCGCCCCCTGCGCCCCGGGCGACGCCGCGCGCGGCCTGGACGGCGGAGGCAGGCCGCGCCATCGCGGCCGTAGTCCTGGCATTTCTGCCGGCGGTGACCACCCTTCCCCCCTACTGCTTTCGCTTGGTCGTGCGATTCTCAGGAAGGGGCTCTCAGGCCCGAGGAGGCGGCGCCGTTTTCCTCTGGCGTGCGACGCCAGCGCAGCCTCTCCCCGAGTAGCGGGCCCGAGCGCCACGTTCGTTCTCGGGTCAGCTTCGGGACGGTCGTCTCGGTTAGGGATGATGCCCCAAAGGACAGAGACCTCGCGACCAGGGATCTCGGGATTCCAGACCGCGAGGGCCCTGCGTTTCGCCTTGATGAGCTTAGGAAGACTGGCGGCCGTCGCAGGGACAGGCCTACCATGGCCGCCACATTACTGCCTGACCGTGCCATGCATGAAACGGGGCCCCTTCCTGCGTCCGCGGCAGGGGGCATCGTCTCTGGGTTTCCTCGGGGGCACGCGTGTCTTTGCGTTTCCTCTGGATGTTTCACCACTGGCACGGCAGGACATGTGTTGGAGGAGTGCCCGTCCACTGACCCTACGTGCCTTTCGGAACCGAAACCAGTTTTTGGCAGGGTATCTCCCTGCGGACGAGGGCAAACAGGATTCTCGTATGATCCCTGCGCCTCGTCCTCCTCATGTTGCCGATCCAGAAACGTTTTGGGCCAGGCTCCTAGCGAGCCGATCTGCACAATATCGTCTCGAGGGCGGGGATTAGTTCCGCGAGAGTGGAGCAACCTGGCTGGTGTGCTCCCCGCGGACCTTCATCCTCTTGATTTCCCTGTCCTCTCTTTTTGGTGCCTTCGGGGCTCCGAGATCCTGTCTTTCGGGTGGGGGCCACCGTCTTTCTTGGCACTTCGGGTGGTTGCTCGGGCTGCCCCTTCGCCTGTGCACGCCTGGCGCCCGTGGCTTGACCTCGGAGCGCGGCGTCCGCCAGCCAGCGTCGTATCCTCCCCTCCCCTGGCTCCACCCCTCCCGTCTCCGATGCCCGTCGCCCCTTTCTGCCTCCCAATTCCCCTTCCCCCGCCCCCCACCCCGCACTTCTCCTCTCGTGCCTGACACGATGCAGTGACGAGCCTTCCACGGGCGCATCATCACCACCGCCACCGCCATCGCCACGGCTTGGGGAACCTGGCGGTGCGCGGCAGGGCCTCCTGGAGGCCCAGGCGCCGCGTCTGGTCGGCCCTGGCGGGGGCCCGCGGCCCCCCGCTGGGCGTGCATGCGCTGAATGTGCAGCAAGGCTGTAGTCGAGCGCGCTCCCAGACCTTCTTGAGGCACCCGGCCACCACCATCATCATCCTGCGATCCTCTTCAGCCCCCCCGCCGCGCCTCCCTTCCCCCCCGCAGGCAGCGCCGCGGGCGGGCCCCGGGCGGTTCCGTGGTGGCGCGCCTGGCTCGCGGCGGCGAAGCGGACTTCTACGGCGGGGCCGACGCCGTTGTCGCCGCCGCTGTCGTCGATCGTCGTCGCGGTCGTCGTCGATCTGTCGTCGCGGTCGTGGTCGTGGTGGTGGCCGTCACCGCCGTCATCGTACAGGAAGGACCCCAGAAAAAATAACAGTTCGGGTTCGGATGAGGCTCGCTGTTCTTTCTTATCAGCATGTGTCTGCCTTCCAGAGTCCTATTCCAACCCGTAAACAACTGATAATTTTGTCCTCCCTTATTTTGCCCTTGCAATTGTCGAGCTATCCGCACGCCTTTCATTTGTTATTCGCACATCTCCTTCTGTATCCGCATATCGTGTGGCTAGTCCAATGGCGTCCCGACAGTCGTCCATCAATTCCCAACCTCAGAAGTAGAGCAGCGCAGACTATTAGAGAATGGAGAACACCAGAGGAGAGCAGAGCAGATCATAGCAGAGTAAGTATTGGTAGTTTAGGGTGCTGTAGTGTGTAGTAGAGCAGGGTACATCGGGTAAATGTTAGAGTGGAGTAGAGTCGGGTAGACTCGAGTCGAGGTGAGTAGAGTCGAGCAGTTGCGACAAACGTGGAATAGAGTGCGGTGGGCGTGACAAAGGTGAGATCAGGATCAGAGTAGTTCAGAGACGAGTCGACCAAGCTAGAGCAGGATTGGGTAGGGTAGATAAGGCAGGCTGGAGTAGAGTAGCTTAGGGCAGACAGACTAGACTAGAGTTGAGTAGAGTAGGGTCCATGGTAGAGCAGAGTGGGGTAGAGTAGAATACAATGGAACAGGGAAGTAGCGTAAAATGCTGTAGAGCAGATTGCGTTGAGAAGGTCGAGTCGACTAGAGCACCACCATCACAGCACCATCACATAATCTTCATCATCACCATCATCATCGTCGTCGCCGTCATCATGATCATCATCCTCCATTTTGGCTTCCCTGTTGTGCAAGGCGAGGTTGTTGCCTTGTCCTGCACCCTCACACCCAATGAATTTAGATTATTTCCATTCCGCCCCGTGCTGAGTTGTCCATGGGCGAGGAGTTTCCCCCAGCGAAGGTCGCGCGCCACGACAACCATCGGCAACAGGTCGACGACGGCGACAGACACATCAAGGGCATGTCTGAAGGTGCTGGGTCAGGACAGGCTCCTTCCACTGCCCCCGCTCCACTTGGTGTCTCTGCCGAGGGCTCCGCGCTCATGATTGCCATCAACGCCAGTCTTGTGAAGGATATCGACGGTGCTGCTGCGAATGTGAATGCTGTGTGTGAGTTGACGTGAGAGCGACAAAAAGTGGGTTTTCCGATTTCACATACACGACTGGCAATAGGTTGAATGGGTTCACTCGTGGGATGTCACTTTTGAGAGTGGATCCGACGAGTCTTCTGTCGTGGAGCCGTTCGTGTCGGAGGGAGCCCGTGCCCAGGCGGAGGTGCAAGTTTCAATTGGGCTCATCTTCGGAATCGTTGTACTGTGGAGGCCGGTGGCTTCAAACCAGATTCGGACCGAAATGGGATCGCGAACGCATTTCGTATTATCACTACTCAGGCCGCCACCGTAGAGATCGTGTAGGCCCCTGGATAGGTCACCAGTCTTTGAAACATCCTGTTCAGGACGAATAATGCTATGAGGTGGTGGCTACAGACCCACAGGGCCAACCGCTTCTCTTACGAAACTTCGGGCAACGACCGCATTCAGCTATGGCACGCCGGTGCACAACCCATGGATGAGAGACAATTGCCTGGACGTTTACCCTGGGCTATTAAAGTTGAGAGCCTGAACATCAATGAGGAGGCCGCCACCATTTGGAACGGAAGCATTTTGTGCTACGAGAATGGTTGGACGAGTAAAAATTCTTACGGCTGTGCGAGCTGGATCAATCGTCGCGGTTGTCACAGGTGTCCGATGGTGCTACAGAGTCGGTTGCCAATATGAGATGTGCCGTGGCGTTGCAAGGTATCAGTTATCGCTCTTATTTCAGCAAATGCTCGATGGGGACCTCACATTCTGCCAATCACTTCTTGGAGTGCGAGGGCGATCGAGCGCAATGACCTCGAAGGAGTGCGGGCCTCTTTGTCGATAGAGGTTCCGTGGGATAGCTCTTGCCCGCAGGAACTCGGCAATTCAACAGCCATGCTCCCTGAGTCGATGTTGCTTGGGCACCGTGTCGGGGCCTCTCCTCCGCAACGCGGGCAACGCCGTTTCGCCTTCATTGTCAATGTCGGTTTCTTTTGAGATGTCGGGGGGATGATCGCCTGACAATGGCAACGTTCGCATGGCTCGTGGCTGGGTGAAAATATTGCCGCCATCATAGCCACTTCCTTCCCGGTCGTCACCCCCGCGTCCGCGACGAACATGTTTTTCTTGAGGCGGCCATTGCATTGCGGCGAGGGCTAGTAGCCGCGCTGCTATCCAGTGTCTCGATGCCAACGCGACAGTTACGCTGCCAGTGGAGGACGAGGGCGACGGGCACAACGTGAGATCCGAGCATGACCCCAACACTCCATACGTCCTTGCCGCCGCGGAAGAGATGGACCTCACGTTTACCAGCATTCGGCCAGCTCGGCTCGCGCTTATGCCCGCCCGATCGCATCGCCAGATCGCTTAGATTTGTGCTTCTCGCCATGTGGGGGAGGCGGCTCATTGCTCCGTCTTGGTCTCTGCAGCTACGGACTCACACCATCGACGTCGACGCCTCCAATTTCGCCAGGCGCTTCGCGAACGCAGCCCCCCGGCTGATCAATTGGGTCACGCGCGGCAGCATCTACCCTGAAGCAGCGCGCGCCAGACTCGGGTCAACCTGCGCGGGGACACCCTCCTCCTCCTCCGCCTCCTTCTCCTCCTCCTCCGCCTCCTCCTCCTCCTCCTCCTCCCGGCGGTGCGACGGCGGTGCCGAGCTGACACGCCGCGGCGCGCGCGAAGCGCCGGTCGACGCTGGCTTGGGATGGCGCGTCTATATCCAGAGGAGGCTGCCTCTCCCGCGCGCCGCGCGTCCTCCTCCTCCTCCTCCCCCTCCTCCTCCTCCTCCTCCTCCTCCTCCTCCTCCTCCTCCTCCTCCTCCACCGCGGGCGGTGGCCGATCGGTCATTGTCAGGAGGAAAAGAAACACACAGACACAATTCATCCTCGATGCCCCAGAACATCTGGGAAAGTATGAGAAGCGGGGGCGAAGACGGCAGCCCAGAAAACATGGGAACATGTGGGGACCATTTTTTTATTTGTGTGTATTTCTTTGTGTGTCCTGGGGCCCCTTCACATTGACCCGCCTTGGCTCAACCGAGCGGGATCTACCGGGTGCGCCGACGACGCGGCGGAGCTGACGGGCGACGTTGAAGTGCCCCTTTGCCTCCTCTACCGCCTCGAGCAAAGCTGGGGCGCCCTCGGACCCTGTTCCACCGCCAACATTCGCGCCGAGGACAATGCGTTTATTCTTCTGGGATCGCCTGCGCGAGAGGCGCTTCGAGCCCTGGGGGAACGTGTTACTCGGCCAACTCGAGCCTGGCGTAATCTTCACACAAGGGATCGTAGCCTCGGAAGCGCGGACGCCGCGTACTTTGCAACGGGGCATGGTTTCTGGGGCGCGAGTGTGGTGTAATTTGCGTGGTATCGTGACCTCGGGAGCACGAAGGAGTTGTAAGTTCAATGCATCTTGAGTCCGCAAGCGCGAAACCTGTGATTGTTGAACACGGAATCGTGGCCTCGGAGGAGTCGCGAACGTGGTTCAATTCGCAAAGGATCTCGCGACTTGTACGTCATTTACAGGGGAACGTGGCGTGAATTGCTAAGGATCGTGGCCGTTGGGGCGCGAGTGCGGTGTCATTTGCGAGGGATCGTGGCCTCGGGGGATGTGCATATATACATATACATACACATGTACATACATGGTCGCACCCTCCCAAGATCTACCTGTTGGTGGGTTATGACATGAACGTTCAAGTTGCCTGTCTCTCCTCGCTTCTTCCTCGCCCCTTTCCTCGCCTGAGCGGTCCTCGCCTCGCCCTTGCTTGAGAGCCTCCGATACCTGGCCAGGCGTTGTTTGTTCTAGTTGATCCGGTCTTTGAGCTCAGGAAGCCCAGCCAGGTGTTGGTATTTCTGGTAGTTCACAACACGTTGCTATGCGTTGGGTGATTTTTGTTTTTCTCTTTGGTCTGGTGGCTCACAACAACTGGCCAGACGTTGTTTCTTGTTTGATTATTCTAGTCTAGTGGCTCACAAAACCTGGCCGGACGTTGGTTTGTATGTTTTTCTTGTCTGGGGGGTCACGGAAGTAAGCCAGGCGTTGGTGTTTCTAGTTGTTCTGGTCTCGAGGCTTACAAAACCCTGCCAGGCATTGGTGTTTCTGTTGTTGTTTTTTATGGCCTGGGGGTTCACGATATCTGGCCCGGCGTTTTTTGGGGTTGTTCTCTGGTCTGGGGGCTCACGAAGCCTGGCCAGGCGTTGGTTGTTATGGTTACTTGTCTGGTCTCGGGGCTTACGAAACCTGGCCAGGCGTTGGTTGTTCTGGTTATTTTGGTCTGGGGGCTCGCACAACCTTTGCCAGGCGTTTTTCTTGCGTTTTGTTATTTTGGTTTGGTGGTTTACAAAACCTGGCCATGCGTTGGTTGTTTTGTTTTCTTGTTCTGGTCTCGGAGCTCGCACAACCTGGTCAGGCGTCAGTTTGTTTTCATTTGTCCCGTCGTCTGGTGGCTCAGAAAACCTGGCCAGGCGTTGGTTGTTTTGTTTTGTTTTTGTTGTCTGATCTCGGAGCTCACAAAGCCTTGCCAGGCGTCGGTTTGTTTGTTTGTTTGGATATGGCGGCAACGATGCACAAGCTCCCAGCCACCAGGCCAGGTTTCACGAGCCCGGAAACCATTGAAACGATGAACAACAACGCCTGGCCAACGCCTCGCTAGGTTTCGTTGGCCCCGAGACCAGCAACACCATACAAACCAACGCCTGGTCAGGTTTCGTTAGCCCTTATCGAACATATATACATATGTATGTCTATATATATACATATGTTTGTATGTATGTATGAATGAATGTATATATGTACGTATGTATGTATGTATGTATGTACGTCTATATGTACACATACATTCTAACTATATGTATATACAACACGTCTGGCCAAGAAACACAATCAAAGACCAACGCCTGGCCAGTTTTTGTAAGCCCCGGAACCAGACACAACAAACACAAACAACAAACACCAACGCCTGGCCAGGTTTTTGGGCCCCCAGACAAGAAGAAACATAACATCCAACGCCGGGCCAGGTTCTGTATCCCCCAGAAAATACATGAAAAACCAACGCCTGACCAGGTTTTGTGAGCCACCAGACCAGGAACACAAAAAAGAAACGCCTGGCCAGGTGTTGTGAGCTGCCAGAAATACCAATCCCTGGCTGGGCCTTCTGAGCTCCGAGACCAGATCAACCAGAACAAACAACGCCTGGCCAGGCATCGGAGAGTCAACGCGTGGCCGGGTTTCGTGAGTTCTGGGACCAAAGCAACAATAAACATAATCAAACAAGGACACCACCGGTTGGCAAGGTTTCGCGAGCCACCAAGCCAGCAGCAAACACAGGGGGGAAACAGACGTCTGGCCAGGTGTCCGGAGCTCCATGACCAGAAAGAACAAGAGAAACGAAACAACAACGCCTGGGGATGCTTTGTGGGCTCCCATCACAAAAAACACCACTGCCTGGCCAGGTATCGTGAGCCACCAGATTAGGAACAAACGCGTTCAATTCAACATGCATGTTCTACACAATTATGGTATACCCTGCTCCTCTCCCTTCTACTCCGCTCTGATATCCTCTGTCTTGTTTCTATACTATATTCTCTACTGTCTGAATAATTTAAGTTTCTACTCTGCCCTGCTCGACTGTGGTATCTCTGTAGTGTAGGGTGGAGGGTGATGTAGAGCAGACAGTCAAAACTAAGAGTTCAGTAGAAGCCACATGGGAGAGTAGTCAATGAAGCGAGTTTTCTGGATACAGAGCCGATGGTAGAAGCTACAGTTCTTCAGGGTAGAGACGAGGTTCAGATGGAGCAGAGTAGAGCACACAGTGGAGGGTGTATTACGACAAAGCGTAGAAAATTGAGGGTGAAGAGTAGGTCCTATGATAGAGATTATGATATACAAGTATGTGTAGAGCGTGGACAGCAGACCGAGATAGTATGCGGAGAGGAGAGTATCACAGAACGCGCACGAGGGAGAGGGGTATCTGATAGGGTGAACAATTCAGTGTTTCTGCGCCGTAATTCAGTATCATGGTACAGCGGAGTAGAGAACAGTGTAGATATAATAGGTTCCCAACAATAGAGAATGGAGTAAAGTCAAATGGTACCGTAAAAAGCAGCGAGATTGCTATAGAGTCTACATGCGGGGGAACAACGGTCATATCCGAATTCAAGGGGAATGGATCAGACCCCATATTCATATGACATAAAGAAATGCAAATAGGATTCGCATAAGAGTTCAACGGGAATGGAGCAGACCCCAGACTCACACGATCTCAATGAAATTTGAAGGGGACCCAAACAAGATTTCAACGGCAATGGAGAACACACCCTATCCGGATGATAACAATTGGACTTAAATTTGACCCGAACAAGAATTCGATTGGAATGTACGTGTTTCAGAGGATTGCAATTGGATTCGAATAAGGATCCAGTACGAATTTTATTTGAATTTAGCAGACCCCAGACTCAGAGGATTTGTTTTGAATCAGAAACCGGTGGGGATGAGGAGGAGGAGGGAGGAACATCAGAATAGCGCACGGAAAAAAAAGGGTGGATTTTGGGAGGGGGTGCGAGCATACATATACATGTATATATATATATATATATATATATGTATGTGTGTGTATGTGTGTATGTTTGTATGTATGTATATACATACATATATACACATACATATATATCTACATATTTCAGCAAATACAGGTTGTGGCTAATTCCACAAACATATCGAAGTATCATTTCTGTGATCTAGTTTTTTTCAATGCGTTCATCTCAGGGACTCGATCATTGACAACTCGACCAGTTGTGCGTCAGCGAAGGACGAGCGAGGTAAGATGATAAGCGAGGTTGAAGAAGGAAGGAGGAAGGAGGTGGAGGGAGGATAATAGGAGGAGGACAACGGTAGGAGGAGGTGCAAGGAGGTTGAGGAGGAAGGTGGAAAAGGGCTTGAGGGAGTAGGACGGAAGAGGAACCAGAGAGAATTGCATGAGGAACCAGAGAGAATTGCAGAAGACGCCGGGCACTTTGCTGTGAAAGTCGGGCTAACGTAACGATTTGGCGGGAGAAGGAGGGAGGAGAAGGGAGAAGGGAAGGAGCCCCTCCATCCCTCCTTTTTCTTCCATGTTCCTCCCCAACCTTCCCTCCCTACCTCAATTCCTCTTTCCGTCCCTGCTTCTCCATTCCCCCCCCTTCCTCCCACCCCCTTCGCATGCGCACGACATACGGAGTCCAATTGGAAGCGCTCACCAGGCAGCAACACCCCAACCACGCGAAAGCCAATCCAATTGGAACACGTCGGTAGGCACAGCTGCTACTTCTGCGGGGGCACACGCTCCCCTGTGGCGGTGCGCGGCCGTGACGAGATTCGACCGCAGTGTCGGTTTCCTCCCCGCCTCTCGTGCAGGCACGCTGGGGGTATCCAGGCAGGCCTCCGACAAAGACATCAAGTCGGCATTCCGGAAGCTCGCAAGGCGCGGCGCCGCCGAGACGACGGCGCGGTCGTTTCGGCGACGGCGGCGGCGGCGACAGCGACGAGCCCAGGTCTCCCACTGCCCGTTTTTTTTTTTTTGAATCCGGGCGTTTCTCATCGATTTGGGTTTTTGGGGCCCGTTATTCGGGGGCGGCCAAGAGGGGTGGGGTGGGATATCACGGCGTGGGCCATGATATTTCCTCAGATTTCATGGCGCCTCTTCTCCTTTCAGTACGTCCCTGGCACCCCTTGGGCCGCGCACGTGCCGCTGGCCATGATTTGCGCCCCCCCCTCTTGGCCGCCCCCCTCTTGGCCGCCCCCGAACCTCCCTTTTCGTCTTCCTTACTCAGGCGATCGCAAACATGGATCAAGGGATCAAGAGGGCGTAGATTAGGAACGGGTCCCGCTCCCATGGGAAATCGCGGATTTCCGCCCCCCCTCTCGGACGCCCCCCTCTTGGCCGACCCCAAGTTGAGGGTCACCAGTTCACCCAGGAGTTCACACACACACTCAGTTCTCTTGAGGCGAGGCCAGGAACGTCGCGGAACGGGCACAACCAGGGAGGCCCGAGAGCGAAGCCAGGAAAGCTCGGGTGGGCGGGCCCGGGCAGCCGACGGTTAAGCCGTACATTCAAAATTCTGGGACTTGGGATGAAGATATTTCAGGTCAAACAATTTCGCCGTGTTACGGTGTATCCTGCTCTATTCGACTGACTGGCTGACTGCGGCCTTGCATCCTTTACGAACGCGTAGGCAAAATAATAAAAAAAACAAAAAAGCAGCGTGCCCATACAAGCATGCATGCACTTGTGATGCGGCGTAGACACAAGCTGCCCATTGTTGTCTGGGGCGCCCCCGGCGCCTGCGGCTCGCCCAGTTTCTGGGAGTGCCGTCGCCGTTGCACGCAAGTCTCCTCACAAGCGACCTGTCGGTCTCAGAAGCAATCTTCCTGTAGAGCATCACTTGGCGTTCGCGTAATATTGAAGATAATGGTTTCGCAGTAACAATTGTTCTTGACACGCATGAGTCAGGTAAACCGAGATTTGAGTGAGTCGAGCCGTCGGTGTCTCTCCCAGCTTTCTCTGTCACTAGATTGGCATGTGCCTATCATGATGAGACGCCCATGTCTTGGTCAATGTGGCCCTCTTCGCCTCCTCTCCTTCCCTTTTCTCGCCTTGTGGCCTGACGGCTACCGTAATGTCCCCGCTAGTTGCAGCAAATGATATGTGTTCCCGCCCCATGCGTTGATGGAACGAGAAGAATGGAAACGTACGCTTCTCCTCCCTGCGTTGCCACATGACGAGTCCAGTAGAACAGCATGTGTCCCGTTCCCTGCGTTGCCTTGTGGAGAGCGTGGAGCGTCGCCTTCAGGGAGATGTCCTCCCGCTTCGCAGCCTGGTTGGGGGAGGCTGGCGACGGTCGGTGTTGTTCCTGCTGCTGCCGGTGTTGCTGGCGCGTGTATTGTTGCGTTGATGTTGCTGCAGGAGTTGTTGCTGGTATTGTTGCTGTTGTTGGTGGTTTTGGTGTTGTTGCTTCTGCTGCTGGTGTTGCTGCTGCTGGTGTTGTCGGTGTTGCTGTCGACGGTACTTTTGTATTGATGCTGCTGCTGGCGTTGCTGGCGTTGCTGCTGCTTGTGTTGCTGCTATTGTTTGTGTTGGCACGCAGGAGTTGCCGTGATGATGTTGCGGTTTGCGCTTCTGGACTTGTTGTATGTGTTGGTGTTGGTGATGGTGGCGTTGTTGGTGCTGTGAATATGTTGGTGCTGCTATTGTTTTTGTTGTTGCTGCTGCCGCTGCTGGTGGCATTGCCATGCAGGTGTGGTTGTGCTCTCGTTGCTGCTGGTAGTGCTGGTGTGGCTCTGGTGGTGGTGGTGTGTTGATGCTGCTGCTGGTGCTGCTGCTGCTGATGTTGCGGGAGCTGGCATTGTGGTGTTGTTGTTGTTGATTATATTGGCGACTTTGACGCTGCTGGTGTTAGTGCTTGTGGTGTTGCGGGCGCTGGTGGGTGTTGCTGCCGCTACTGTTTCCTTGCTTTTGGCTTGAAGTGGTTTCCCGGCTTGGTTTGGACGGCTTCTCTGATTTTGATTGTGAAGATTATTCTGGTATCGTTCTTGGCGGGATTCTTGGTGTCGCTCTCTCGCATATTCTTGGTTTCTTACAGGGTGTTGCTCCCATCACTAGCGTATCCAGGACGGAAACAGTTGACCCTGGGACAGGGGTCGGGACCTCTGGGGCCGCGGATTGACAAAAAACAGGTCGGTGGATCATCGAGCAGAAAGAAAACCCGAACCCTTAAAACATAGTGAAGACGTGGCTTCAGTCAGATCCCCGTCTTCATTGCGTCGGGGACAGTAAATTTGGGCGGTTTGGCTCGATACGTCTTCAGGAAAGGCCTCTATCCCTAATGTTCCTGGCCCTCTTCACTTAGGTCCCCTCCCAAAGGATTCGGAGTACTAATTTGGCTGAGCAGTGGATGTCAGGGAACAACGACGACGGCGACGGCTCCTTCGGCGAGGGCGGCGACGACAGAGACGGCGGTTCCGCATTGGCGCCGCGCGGCGGCGGCGGCGGACCGGGGACTGGTTTTTGTGTGTGGCTTGTGCTCGGCGGCGACGACTACGACGGCTGCGTCGGCGGAGACGACGAGTGGGGGAAGGGTAGACGTGGATGGAGGGGGGGAGATTTTCAGGGTACGTCCCAGGGTTGAGACGTATAATTTCTCTTCTGCTGTTGTTTTGGCCCGAGGCAGCGCCGCCCTATTCGCCTGTGTCGGCGACGTTGCCGGCGCGCGATCTGCGGCGGTGTAGGAGAAGAGTGCGTCATTTTTCATGAGTTACCATCCAGCTTCCCGACATCCCTGTACCATTGATCTCGGTTTATGCAGCTATGTCTTGGAGCTACCACTTCAAACTGAAAGGGTGTGTCACGATGGAGGAGCAGGGGAGGTGGGGAATGGGAGGCTCGTGATCGGAGGTGGGCGGGTTTAGAACAGAGTGGTACGGCATGGGAAGAGCAGGGAGGACGAGACGGCGGAGTAATTGCGTAGTTGCACGAGCGAGGAGGGCGAGGACGAGGACGAGGAGGATGAGGACGAGGACGAGGAGGAGGATGAGGAGGAGGACGAGGAGGAGGAGGATGAGGACGAGGAGGAGGAGGAAGTGGAGGAGGAGGAGGAGGAGGAGGAGGGGAGGAAGCGGAGGAGGAGGACGACGACGAGGCAGCAGTCTCACGGGTGGAGCAGGATTGAAGGGAATGCGGCGTCGGAAGAGGAAGGGGTGGAGTGAGGACAGAGGGAAATGGGGAGGAGGAGGACGGAAAAGGAGGAGGAGGAAGGACCCCCCATGGTCGGTGTCCCCTGTTATCCGGATTCGTCCCCGTTGTTTTTTCTTCTCCGTCTTATTTGTTCTGTCCACTCCAAAACCTCTTCTGCCCTCGTTATCTGTTTGTTTTGCTCTGTTGGTCTAGATCGCGCGCCAATTCTCGCGCGCGCGCAAGCGCAAGCCTGAAACAATGGCCGTTCGTTGTGGCGTTTTTGTTGGGCCCCCGAGGTCGGTGGCCCATCGTGCTCCCCTCCAGCGCCCCCCCCCCAGTGCCCCCCCCCCGTGCTTGGGCCGCTACACCGGCGTGAAAGGCTGCGCGTTGTGCGCGCTTCGCCTGCCCGCGGCCCCCCTTCTCCGCGGCCGCCCCGGGTTCCCCCCTTTGCGCCTCCGCGGCGTTCCGTCTGCCACTCCGCAGCCCCGTGCAGGCCTGCCCGTGCCGTGCGGCCGCTAGCGCCACGGCGAGGAAGTGATGGTTCTCTGTGAGCTCGCCGCTTCCACTCCTGAGCCTCCCAGAGGGGGTCCGAGCAGAGGGGGTCGGCGAATCGTGACACCTCGCCGATACAACGGCGATGCATTGACGATGCGGCGCGATTCTCCGACCCCGTCTACTCGGACCCCTGGGTTCGACCGAAACGGTGTGTTAGCGATCTCGTGGACCGTTTTCGTTTTGCTTCCGTTTCGCAGCAAAGGCGGAATGCGAGTTTGACGAGGAGTTTGACGAGGAGTTTGACGAGGGAAAGCGAACATGAAACCGAAACGAAAACAGAACGCACTGTTTAGGCCGAGCCCTGTCGGACCCCAGCTGGGAGGCCGCTGTCTTGGTGAGCACGCCGCTTCCGATTTTCAGGGGCCCCGATATGTCCTGCGCAGTGCAGCCCCCGGCCTCCAGGAACTGTTGCTTGCGTTGAGAGTGTTTTGGCGTCGTTCGGACGTGTCGCATTTATTATCGGCGAGGGCCATCGAGGATCATGCGGGGCCAATTTGCGGAAACATGCACGCACGATATCGCACATGCATGAGGAAATGATGTCCGAGCGATGGCAAGGTGTGGGTCGAGCACCACCTCAGTTGCCCGGGGGTGCCGGATAGCCCCACTGTGTCGGGACGTCTCCTGGACGATATGGCCAACGGGCTGCCCGTTCTCCTGCACCACGCGCTGAGTGCATGCCTTGTTTCCGGTGTGTTCGCGAGCAGTGCCCACGAGGCGATTGTTTGGCCATCAGTTGGCCCCCTTCGGCCATGAGAATCAATGCCGGCTGGCCTGGATGTGCCAAGAAGTGTGAAATCCCGCATTTTTCAGGAGGGGAAAAACACCCAGACACAATGAATCGTCGATTCCCGGGAAAATATAGGAAAATATGGGAATTGGGCGGGAAGACAAAAACCCAGAAAATATGGGGAATCATTTTATTTGTGTGTATTTATTTGTGTGTCCCAGGGCCCTTTTAATTTTAGCGCAGATCGTGAAAGTTTGAGTTGGGAAATGGCGAGGCGTGCGGCACTGTATGCGTTTCTTCCCGAGTTGCCCTTCTTGCTCACCTGCACGGTCTGTCACGCATTTGGGGGCAGTGCCGCTCGCACGCGAGCGAGGACGGCAGGTCAATCAGTTGTTTCTCTCAGTCTAAGTCTTCGGATGCCGAGCCAATCGCTTTTTTTCCAAGATGGCACGTTCGACGAAGACTCGCCAGGGCGGCCGAAACAAAAACATGGCGTTGTGCACCGAAGACAGCGCTCCGAGGCAGGCTCGAATGAGTGATGGAGGGAGCGCTGCGTCCTGAAAGCAAGTCCGTGCACATGTTGTCGCTATTCCTTGGTACCCACGAGCCCCACCTCGCGTATCTCATCGTATGTTTGCCCCCGCCCCCCCTGTCCAGGCAATATCACCCCGACGTGAACAAGGATTCGGCCTCGCGGTGTTATCCTTTCTGTGTCGCAGAGCGTTCTCTCTCTCTCCCTCTCCCTCTCGTTGTGCAGCCTTCTTGGAGCGTCAGTCCCGCAGGAGACTGCAGGGGTCGACCCGTCAGCCGAGCCCACAGCCCACAGTGTGTGGATTCATTGAGCTGGGTCCCGTCGGGCACGTGCGTGGCGGAGAGCTCAAAAGGACCTCGACCGCTCGAGGACCGCGCCTCTACAGGAGGAATTTTCACTTATACCAGAGAAGAACCCCAATCAGTGGATGGTTTTCGCTGAGGAGATCGACCGGGAACCCGGGAACCCAGAACCCATTGGGACCGCCCCGGATCCAATAACCAGGAACCCGGGAATCTGGGATTTGGAACCCGGGAACCCAGCTTGCTACCAAACTCGGCGGGAAATGTTCGCCAAATCCTTCAATTTCCGCTAGGACCCCTTCAGTGCAAGCACTGATTGGGGAAATTAGTCCAACAATGGTCGGGGGACGATTGTTTGAGTATGTTTTCTTTTTTAAAGAAATTATAAAAAAAAACCTGTAGGGGAACATGCCCGACCTAAACGTAGCAGCAGATGCCGTCGAACGGGCCACATCGATGTCCTCCACCTGGATCCAGACGAGGAGTCAGGCAGGCTTAGGACATGGATCAATCGCGTTCCAGAGCGCTCTAGAATTGCCCCTGCGCTCGATTCGTCTTGCGGGCTCTCATCGGATTCAGCGATATGCAGCGAGCGCCTCTCGCCAGGGCTGGCGCTGGGACGAGGGGGGCGTCCAGGGGCGCACCCCGCGCACCCCCAGGAACTCCGAAGGCGTCTGGAGGGTTTGCTCACGGGGCGGCACGCCTCCTGAAAGCAGCGCGTCAGAGGTCACCCTTGGCAAAGGTCACTCTTGCATAGAGCGGAGCACATTTGCTCCCCGCCATCGCGCAGTGGAGAGGGTGGGGGTGCATGAGCCGCGTCGCGCCGAAGCACGCGCCGAATCTGCTCGACGGCTGGCTGGAGGCCATACGTGTCCCAGAACTTCTGATTCGTCGGCCGCGGGGAGCCGGAAGCAGCGTGCGAGCGACGGCGGGACCCGTCCGGAGCGCAAGTCGGGGCACGAAAGGCAAAGGAGAGGCGCGCAGGGAGCGCGGGGCGGTGGGCCGGATGAGCGCGGCGTGGGGCGGTGGGGCGGGGCGTTGAGGCGGAGCGCGGGGTGGTGGGGCGGTGGGGCGGTGGGGCGGGGAGCGCGGGACGCTCAGACCATACAAATCTTCACGTGCGTGCCAGCGTGCAGGAGCAGGACATCTAGGGACAGGACGAGGTCGAAGACCCAGAAGGGGCGGGCCAGACGTACCCCAGAACAGGCGTGCACCTTGGAGAGGGAGCCCCGTGGCCCACCTCGGGAGGCCCCGCGGCTGCGCTCTGTCGCCCACCGTGGCTGGAACGGTGGCCGCTGCGACACCTCGCTTGGGGTGCGTCGTCCTGGGGGTACGTTTGTCTAGGCCTCCCAGATGGGGTCCGAGTAGGTGGGGTCCGAGGATCGCGCCGCATCGCCGATGCATCGGCGATGCGGCTCGATGCGGAGCCTGAAATTCTCCACGCCGACGTTGCCAATGCGTCGCCGACGTCGGCAATGCATTGCCCATGCGTCGCCGACCCCATCTCCTCCGACCCCATCTGGTACGCGCGCGCCGGCAACCCGTTCGCGCCCTCATGTTCAGCCCAGGGGTGGTGCGTCGTTTCTTCGGCACATGCGCGCGTTGGCCGCCGCTGTCGCCCGAGACCGCCCCGCGGCGTGCGGGCACGCACGCACCGAGCAGCGAGTCGAGGAGGGATCCGCGCCGATGGGGCCTCTGGCGAGGGAGGAGGAGGAGGAGGAGGAGGAGGAGGAGGAGGAG